GGCAAAGTAATGTCTCTGCTTTTTAATATGTTATCTAGGTTGGTCATAACTTTCTTTCCAAGGAGTAAGCATCTTTTAATTTCATGGCTGAAATCACCATCTACAGTGATTTTGGAGCCCAAAAAAATAAAGTCTGTCACTGTTTCCCCATCTATTTCCCATGAAGTGATGGGACCAGATGCCATGATCTTAGTTTTCTGAATATTGAGCTTTAAGCCAACTTTTTCACTCTCCTATTTCACTTCATCAAGAGGCTTTTTAGTTCCTCTTCACTTTCTGTCATAAGGGTGGTGTCATCTGCATATCTGAGGTTATTGATATTTCTCCCGGCAATCTTGATTCCAGCTTGTGCTTCTTCCAGTCCAGCGTTTCTCATGATGTACTCTGCATAGAAGTTAAATAAGCAGGGTGACAATATACAGCCTTGATATACTCCTTTTCCTATTTGGAACCAGTCTGTTCTATGTCCAGTTCTAACTGTTGCTTAAAGTGTAACCTCCCCCAGAAAAAAATCAAAAGAAGAAAATTTTAAAGCACCACCCAGAGAAGATAATTATTAACAATATTCTGGCATATGCATTTGTGAGTATGGGTATGGTGATGCAAAAATGAGATTGAACTATATATATGGAATTATATTTTTTTAAATTTATTTTGGCTGTGATGGGTCTTTGTTGCAGTGTGTGAACATCTCTAGTTGTGGTGCATGGACTCAGTGGTTGGGGCGTATGGACTTAGTTGCCTCACAGCATATGGGATCTTAGTTCCCCCAACAGGGATTGAATGTTTGTCCCCTGCAGTAGAAGGCAGATTCTTAATCACTGGGCCACCAGGGATGTCCCCTGTAATCTGCTTTTTTCACTGAAAAAATATGTACGTCTTTCCATATTAAAAAATTAGAATAAAACTGTCATGTAGTCAATAAATCTTAAGCATGACTGTCACAGCCCCCTGTTAAATTCCTTTCAAGCACAAAATTTTCTTATTTATTTATAATAAATAAAAATGGATAATTTCTAGTTTATTATTTGATCATTCTCTTATTTATATATCTATCTGTTTTTTCTCTTACTCTTGAAAATACTAGCTCTGTGAGGGCACAGATGTTGTCTGTTATTTTTACTATTGTACCCTTGACAGCAAGCACACCTTCTGGCATAGAAAAGAGGTATATTAGTTTTCTATGCTGCATAAGAAATCACCACAAACTTAGTGGCTTAAAACAATACCCATTTATTATCTCAAAGTTCTATAAGTCAGATGACCATTCACGCTCCACTGAATTCTATTCTTAGACTTATAACGCCAAAGTCAAGATTTTGGCTAGATTTAACCTGGCTAGATTTAACCTGGAGGGTCTGGGGAAGTACCCACATCTGAGCTCATTTAGGTTGTGGCAGAAATTAGTTCCTTGTGGTTGTAGGACTGAGGTTCCTATTTCCTTGTTTGCTATTAGCTGCTGGCTTCTCTTGGATCTGGCAGGACACTACCAGGTCCTTGCCCTGTGGTCCCCTCTGTCTCAGCACAGCAGTTCCCTCTTATGTTCCAAATTTCCCTGAGTTTCTTCTCCTACCAGCAAGAGGAAAGTCTCTGCTATTAAAGGGCTCCCATGATTAAATTAGGCCCACTCATTTTCTCAAGTCAAATGATTAGTAACCTTAATTATATCTATAAAGTTGTAATCATGGTGTGAGATATTCATAGTCCCAGTGCCAGGGATTGCAGCAGGAAATCTTTGGGGGTTGAGGGAACTTTAGGATTCTGCCTGTTCCAAGTGCCCTCTAATACCTATGGAAAGGGTGAGTGAATCAACTTGTTCATTGAATGCACATGGCATAGAGGATGCTAAGTGAACAAGACTGGCCTGACCCTGCTCTCATAGAGCTTGCAGCCTCGACCAATGTTATTCAGTAGAAATATATTGCAAGCCACATTTGTAGTTTTGAGTTTTCTAGTAGCCACATTGAAAAGAGTAATAAGATACAGATGAAATTAACTCTAAAAATATATTTAATTTTATCCAATATATCCAAAGTATCACTGGTGCACAGTTTACACTTACGGCACATCTCAAGTTGGACTAGCCCCACTTCAAGTGCTGAGTAGACACACGTGTTCAGTGGCTGCCATATTGGGCAGTGAAAGTCTAGGGACGTCACAGAAGGGGGATGTGAGACTTCCTGCGCACCATACCACACTCAGGAGGGTCAGGAAAGACCTCCAGGGAAGAAGTGAAATCTAAACTGAGACTGAAGAATAAGTAGGAATCAGTCAGGTCAAGGGTTCATGTGAATGCATGTCAGAAAGACAAGTCTGTACCATGAGGAGGAAAGAAAGCTTTAGGACTGCAGAAGCCAGTTCAGCTTAGGGGGAACTTGAAGCGTGGAGCCGGAGAGAGAGGCCAGCAAGCCAGGAGTCCATCCTCCACCCTGACAGCAATGGGATTGTAAATGAAGGCTGTAACAGGGAGTGCAAGATGAAGTAGATGTTGTTGTTGAAATAGCACTGTTGCCTGTGCGGTGAGTGCAGAGTGGGTCCTGAAGGAGAGGTGTGTGCGGGGTGGGGGGGGGGGGTGTTGGGGCCGCTGCGACCATCCAGGACAGGGAGGTCAGGCCAAAGATTATCTCACTGTGGGTGGCTACCCAGATTGCCTCCTTGGTAGAAGCCAGGACTCCTTTTTAAAAAATTTTTAAATGTATATGCTTCTTTGCGCCTCAGTGAAGGTTCATTTGCCTTTGCAGCTCCTGGCAGTGTCATCTGAGATTTCTTTTTTCCCTCAAATCCATTTAGGCCTCCTGGCAAATGGATTGTCTGATGGAAGCAGCGGCGACACTTTTTGAGAGTTCCCTTTCCCACAGCATAAACCTTACCCTGAAACAGTGCGTTGCAGTCTCGAGGCACTGTATTCTGCCTTGTGACCTGTTACCCAGCTGGAAATCTTTGTCTCGACTGAATAAATGATTGTTCTTTGCTACTTTATCTTGGAAAAACATCAAGGACATGGGACATTCGCCGTAATTGTTTTTCACTAATTTCCCCGATCTGTAAAATATGACCGGAGCATTTTAGTACTACTTTGGGTTTCTCTTTACCTTTTAATCATGTGGCCTTTTAATATATTGGTCAGCCCCTTAAAAGGATGATTAAGAAATGCTTAATGCACAAAAGAATTAGAGCTATGCACAGCTCATGAAGCAGAAAGCGTGCTCTGACTTAGAATTTTCATACGAAGTTCACCGAGATTTTATGTGCCAGAATGAGTAATATGATCCGCTCTAGGAACTCCCTAGCTCTCTGGCTCTGCAAAAGTCATTTTTTTGCCCCGATTCAAGTTTCTTAACCAGAAGGGTTACACCAAACTCCTCAGAGTATGAATTAGCCGAGTTCATCCAAGCCACATATTTCATTTGCACTGCTTAACGAGGGTTCGAAATAACTGCCTACCTGTGCAGATGCTGGGATCTTTGGTTGGCTCATTAGTCAGTGTGACTTGAGAAATGCTGTGTGTCAGCCACCAAATCAGACAGCTCAGGCTGTATATAAAAACTGGCTCACATGTGTATGAGTTGTGTCTGTGTGTGTGTCTGTGTTTGATCTTTCCCCTCCCCGCCTTATTGCCCAGATAGCTGCACTATTGCCATGTGCCCGGAAACTCCTAGAATATTCCAAGGCAATATGTGAATTATAACCATGCAGGCACACAACGTCCAGCATCAGTAGGGAAGAAAGTCATCACCTGAGGGTTCAGTGTGGGATGGTCCTCTATTCTTACCCGTTGTACTATTTCTTCGCAGGTGGCAGTTGTATGCCACACCCCGGGACCCTTAATGGGGGCCATGAGAAAACTTGAGGTGCTTCCGGATACCTCTTCCCCAGGGCCTGAAATATGCACACAGCTGACTGTTGCACTTATGTTTAGGGCTAAACATATACACACAAGCCACAGGATGGTGGCGATGATAGCCAACTTCATTTCACTCTGCTGTGTTTAAGGAGATACCAATATTCTTTTTTAAGTTATGCTTTTATTGTGGTAAGATACATGCTAAAAATTACCACTGTAACCAGTTTAAGTGTACAGTTCAGTAGCATTTACTACATCCATGGCATAATTCAACCAACACCACTATCCATTTCCAGAATTTATTACCACAAACTGAAATTCTGTGCCCATTCAAAGATAACTCTCCATTCCCCTCTCCCCTCAGCCCCTGTAACCTCTTATTTTGTGCATCTTTGAATTTGTTTATTCTAGATATTCCATGTAAGTGGAATTGTACAGTATTTGTCCTTTAGTGAATGGTTTATTTCACTTACCATGATGTCTTCAGGGTTTATCCATATTGGAGCATGAATCAGAACTTCATTTGTTTTGAGGGTTGAGTAACATTCTGTGGTGCATATATACTACCTTTTGGTTATTTTCAGTAAGGCTTCTGTGAGCATTTGTGTGCAAGCAGTCTGTTTAAGTCATTCTTCCAGGTATATACCTTGGAATGAAATTTTCTGTGTTCTTTTAAATTGTTTCTCTTAGAAGGTCTGTAAGTGAATGCTAAGTTTTCTGGTGTGTCGGCCATCTTTAATTCTCTTAATATCTAAAAAGTCAAGTTTAAAAATAGTTTAAAAACTATACTCATGGTAGAAAACCATGGAGAGGAAAAAATGTTGACACATGACCTGGTCAAATAGAAATAATCTCTGTAACATTTGGGCTTATTTCCATTCCCTTTCTTCTTGCTTATCAAGAGGCATCTCTAACTCTAGGTGAACGATTTTTAAAAAGACATCTTCTTCAGATGTGTTTGCAGGACATCATTTAACTTCCTGTTCACCTCCTCACTCTATTCTTCCTCTGCATCGCCACCCTCCCTGATCCCCATTAGCCCTGATTAAAGAGAGGGGTGGCGGGTGGGCACACGGGTGGGGAGTGTTTGCCCGCAGTACCTCCAGCCTCACTGCCAGTCCCTCTCCCGGCTAAACTCTGTGCTTTCTTGTTGCAGCTATCAGAAGGGCTGACTAAAGGGCACGCGCAGCTCCGCAGCAATATTCTGATAATCTATTGCAGTGCAGCTCACATCACTGTTCACCACCACCTGGAACGCTCATGGAGACTGAAGAGGAGCTTTCACTTCCATTACTGAGCACGGCTCTGTTCGACTCAGTGTCTCCTTCATCATCTCATGTCCTTTCCCATGGATTCAGACACATTGGAGAGGAGAAGGTGGAGGAGGAGGAGACAATGGCAGGTCCTCCATTTTTTGGTCGGGATTCGGGCATTTAAAATGTGTTCATCTCTTCTGAATGTCATTATTTGATAACATTTTACTTCTGTTACTTAAACATCACTGGATGAATCTGAACTCCATGGGATCATAACTGTGGATTCAGCTTCTGTTGGACAACTAGCTTCATCTCCCGTCTCTCTGCTGGTTCAGTCTAAGTGGTCATCTCTAATGCATTAGATTATCAAAAAGTGTGAATTCTGTGATTGAGTGAGTGGTGCTGGCAGTGTTTGTATACCGAGATGCATGGAGTGTTTGACAGAGAAACCAAAGCACCAAAAATGGTGAGCCTTTACCCTCCTCTATTTCTTTAATCTGCGGTTTGAAGAACCACATTTTGGTGGTGGAACCAGTCGTTACCTCTGGGCCAGGTTGGAAATGAAATCAATTTTTTAAACCACTAATACTTGCCAAGAAATCGCCTTATGAGAACATGGTGTGTGTCTCTGACAATGCATGGCACATCTAAATTGATCATTCATAGTTCTATTGACCCTGTGTTTGTACTAGGGAGTGGCTGGAGCCTGAGGCACCTGCATATTTCTATCCCATGTGTGTTACTTATCACCCACAGTGGGGTCACAGCCGAGCCTCAGACTCTCGCCATTCCCGTACATGCAGGTCTCCACGAAGAAGCTGGGACTCATTCATACTCAAAATCCAAACGCTGTCCAAACAGCGAGTGTACACTTAGATCTTCTGCAAATGAAAGGTCATTTGTCATTTTTTTTTTAAAGTCTCCAACATGGATTCCAAAACATCTTCAGCATCAAACATGAAAACATTGATGAATGAGGAATAATCACAAAAGCTATGTATCTGTATATAGCTCTACACAACATGTTTGTGGTACAGAGTCATTATTTAAAGCACATGCCAGGGAGAGAGACCACATTTTCAGGTCTTTTACATACAGTGACATGGTCCTGAGGAGAATTAAACTCCTCCTGCTTCCTCTGAGGTTAAAAAAAAAAGAAATAAAGTTGTTGTAACTTCATAAAACTCGTTACCGAGTCTGGAAAACATGTGCAACTCTTGTATTGATCCATTTCCTTGTCAATGAAAGAAACCCTTCCACGTGTATGCAAGTGGGGGATGAAAATCTGCATTTCTAAAGGACAAACAGTGAATTTAAGCATGAGTGGCCTTAATAAATATAGTTGTCTTTTTTTGCTGCTGTGGAAAGGATTCTAAGGAGATGTTCCTGAAGTCTTGCATTGAATTTAGTTGCTATTATTACTTCTTAAAATGTTGGTGCAATTAACTCTGGACCTCTCTTGTGAGCCATAGAGATATTTAAAAGTCAGACACCTTATTTATCTATCTGAGAAGACGAAGCTGTGTCTGGGTTGAGCTGTTCATCCTTGGTGCATTAAGAGTAGTATATTCGAGCAGGTTTCTCGCTTCTGGCTTTGTTCTTGTCCTAAGTATTGCGCATTGTGTAAAACTTTCATGTTGCACAAGCAATCCAAATACATTCATGTTTAATAAGTTTGTCCTTTAACTATCAAGGCAGTCTAGGTCTTGACTTGAGAAACGAGCAGAGTTCTTTGCAAAAGTTATTTCACACATTTTGACATAATGCTGCCCTGAAAACCCAGGCCTCCTCCAACTCATGGCTGTGAACAGTCTGAGCATCCTTAAACAGGCGGCCTCACTGTCTCCTACAGCCAGATCCTGATCTGAACTCTGCCACTGAATACTTGAAGTAGGAAAGCCACTAGGCAGTGAGTGTCCTAGAAGCAGAGAAAGCAACCGACCATGAATAGTTAGCGATTTCCCAGTATGTGCCAATTCTGTCCCAGCTGTTGTTTTGAGGGCTCATTTTTGCCCCACTTTTGTTTGCCTAAAGTATTACTGATGTTCCTTTTGTGGGACAATTATCATTTAGTTCCCTAAAAATTAAATTATGTCTAACATAGCATCTTTCCATTATGTATCATGTAATATTCCCTGATGTTGAGGGGCTACCAAAAAATTCCCTTTTCACATATTAAAAATAGTTTGTGTTTACAGCAAACAACTGTGCTGTTGGGAAGACATTTCCTTTGCACAGACTTTAGCAGGTTTCCCCCTTGATCATAATCAAGTTGAGAAAGTTGAGGCTGACATTTAGGAGAAGTTGGTCTTCTTGCTTTGTGCAAAAGCAAGCTTGTACTTTATACCCTGTTTGATTTCAATGTACAGTCTCGATTTTGTATTTAATGATTTTTGTGTATCCAGTATGCACGTTAACAGCGTGTCAACTTTCATTTAAAAGTGGGTTTCCATTTACTTTTTAAACAGTGTTCATGACGAGACCTCAAATGTGTTGACATAAGCTCTATCTGAGATGTTTTTGTGTTGAGTGGCGTTTGAATGCTGCCAGGGGTCAGTGTATCTAATTCCCAGAGACCCTCGTTTGATAGTGCTTCTTGTAATATTTCTCCAAGTGAGTGGCATGTGGGTTGTGATATTGACCATGTGATTATGGACTTCGATATGAAAAATAAATAAATAAATAAAACTAAGGAACCCTCAGAAACTATCAGTGGGCATGTAGTAGCCAGTCATTGTAACCTCGTGTCTAGTAGAAGTACAACGTACAAGGTATGTACAGTTCACACATTTGTTATCACGTGTATGAGAAGTGCTTTGTGCTGATCGCCTTATTTATATTCATCAAATAAACTTTGTTTCTTTCTGAAGCGGGTTCATTCCATCTCGAATAAATGCTCCAACTGTGATGGTTTCTAGTCTTGTTTGGGTCATGGATCCCCATCTGAAGAAGCTATGGCTGCGAAGACAAGAGAAAGAAAAAGGGAGGCTATGGACTCATTTTACCAGAAGAGCCAAGATGTAAATTTCCCTCTGTGCATAGCTGGAGCTCCGGGCTTATAGTGTGTTAAGAACTCAAGTTATTGGTGGCATCTTCCTTCCTCCTTCCCTTCCCTTTTGGTCCTTCTCTGTCTCTCAGTTCCTCTGTTTTTCTCCATCTTTTTATCCCTCCCTCGCTCCCTCCTTCCTACCTTCTCTTGCTTCCCTTTTTTCCCTCTTTCCTCTTTTCTGTCATGTTTCTTCTGCACTTTCCATGAGGTTGACATCAGTCCTGCCAGGTTCTCTCCACTTGGTGGTAAAGGTGACTCCCGACAGCTTTGAGTGTTCTTGGGTTTTTTAGAAGAGACAGCCCTCTCTCCCAGCAGCCACATCAGGCCTCTAGAGGGACTCTTACTAGTCCTCTTGGGATCATACATCCAGCCTCACTGGATGTGGGAGATGTAGTTTCAAAGGAAAAAAATAGAGCTCTAGTCTAGAAGAGAGACAAGCTGAGCAGGTGAAAACAGTAGCGCTGCCATCAGTTGGGTACACACACAGAATCATCCAGAAAAACAGAACTGTCCATACAAGGGCTCCCCGGCCTTTATAGCTCACCTGTGGATCTCAGTGGAGGACCAGCTCCTGGTTTCTTTTTAAATTTGAGTTTCAGGAAACAAATGATCAACTCTTGCCATTATTGCAATTAAATAGTAATTGATTATTAGCGCTAGACAGTCTATGTCATGTGACCAAATACCTTCATTTTACAGATGGAGAAACTGAGGCTCAGTCGGAAGTAGCTGATCCAGGCATACGTGGTAAGTTCACTGCAATCCCAGACTGTCCCTGGAGCTTCTGGGACAGGAGTATATGTCCCTGAAGACCCTCTGCAGAGGAGAGGATGAGACAGAGCCTCCTCCCAGTTGACCCTAGAAGACACAGAGAAAATAGCATTTTTTTTCTGTACTTCATGGATTCAGTGCTACCAGGTATGAAATTTTCTCACAGTCAGGGACATTTGGGGGCAACCTGCAAAGTCACGTGTCCTTTTCTTTATGGTGCCTTTTTATGGAAAAATAGCTTTTGTTAGGCAAGAATTTCTTACCTCATAGAACTCCCTGAAGCAGCCAGCTTGCTTTCAGGCCTGATTATATGAGGCCAGCTGGCCGTCAGACATAATCTCTACTCCTTCATGCACAAACTGGTCTGTTTGGAGGAAAAGTACCAGCTCAGACTTTGTGGGTCCACCTGTCCTTCAGTTCTATCGAAGCATGTAGATAAGCAAAAGGTTTTGTTTTGTTTTGTTTAGTTTTAATCTTAAAAATCCACCTTGAAAAAGATTGGAGAGACTTTCTAAGTCTTGGGGTTGCTAGTCCATAATAATAATAATCACACTAATAAGTAAACAGATAAAAATAATTGAACTTGATTGTGTACTTGCTAGGAGCCAGGCCATGTCACCAAGGACTCACGTGCACCCACTCCTTTATTCCTGACAACAGTTCCATGAGATTGGTGCTATCACGACCCATGTTTCACAGTGAGGGGAATGGAGGCCCACAGAGATGACCAGAGACAGTGCATGTTTATAGAGCACTTACTTGGTACCAGTACTCTGCTAAATGCTGTGCTTACATGAATTCATTTATCCTGACAGTAATCCCTTGAGGTAGGTATTATCCTCATATATTCTGGTATTATTACTCTCCTCACCATACAGACAAGGAGAAAGTGGCCCAGAAACCTTCCACACCTCACCCAGCATCTCCTGGATGGTACATGGATCGTGGAGACAGGCTTTTCATCCAGTGCTCAGGAAGCTCTCTGCTTCGAGCCCCAGGTTAGGTAAGTGAGGGGTGTATGGGACTGGGGTTCAGATTCTGCTGGTACCCACCCAGCAAGTCTTCCGTGTCGCAAGCTTCGTCTCCAGCTCACAGAGGCCTGAGGGAGTTGGTTGCTTCATCAATGCCCCCGCTGCTCCTCGTGAGGAGAGAATGGCAGTGGGGCCCAAGGGAAGTCAGGCCACATGTGAGAGGAGAGTGGGGATGAGCTTAGCACACTGGATTTTAACCTGCTAGTCCTGGGGTTCTCCTGTGTGTCCTAAGCCCTCAGTGTACGGGCATCGGCACCTGCCCTCCTTGGGTGTGCAAGGGGCAGCGTCCTGTGACAGGCCACTGGACAGGTGTCCCCAGGTAGGCGAGGACCTCAGCGCCAGGATAAAGGGTGTAGGTCTAATTGTGGTGGCCATTGGTTCTCAACTCCAGTAACTGACCTCCTGCTTGCCTGGTTCTTACAATGTCAGAAGACAATATGTAGCCTGAGTTAAGTACCTTATACAATTAAAAGGCTCACTGTTTTATTTACATAAATTTACTTTAAGGATAAATGCCTCCATCATAAATGAGAAAGTAGGGTAATTTTCCATATATAGCCATCACCAACTGTAAGGGCAAAAAAAAGAATGAAGACAAAGCTCTGAGGCTAAAGCTTTCCCTCTCTGTGGTGAAAAGGGAAACTGGCAAAGGTTAGCGGTGGGTTTGTGGGGCTGACAGAGTGTGTTTGTCTGTTACTGAATGGGAAGGACTGAAGATGGTCAGGAAAGGAATATGTAACTCTGTGGCTGAGGGGTGTTTCAGACTGTGCCTGTGGACCGCCCTGTCATCATTTCAAGGGCCCACTTTGATCTCCAAATTTTAGGAAAATTGCAGCAACAAAAATGCAGAGATGAGTTTTTAGATAAACTTTATTTTTATAAAGGCTTTATTTTTAGAACCTTCTTAGATTTACAGACAAATCGAGCAGATAGTCCAGCGAGTTCCCATATAAACTTCCTTCCCACAAGGATACAGTTTCCTCTGTTATTAAGATCTTACATTCACGTGGTATACCGTCACCAATGGAACAGACACAAATACACTGTTATTAACAGAAGGCTAGTCTTCATGTAGACTTCCTTAGTTTTAACCTAAGGTCCTTTCTCCGT